TCTCCATTTCGACATGCGTAGTAATTTACAGTCAATTCAAAAAATGTTGTCGTCGACCAACTCAAGTCTACACGACTGGACCGAAAGGAACTCTGGGTAGCAATCATTGAAGTCGAGTTGATTCCATAATTTTATCTGACTAGTTATGCCTGGTTTAAAGCACGAACCTTCGTAGGAGCGGAAAGTGTTGAAGGAGACGTTTTTTTAATGTCTTCATATTTTCGGAATTGTGAACTGAATCATAACTACTTTGTTTTTCTTTCCCTAACCCCAAAGACATGCATTTGATGGATTGTTTCTCGCCATTATTATCTTATTACTAGCAGGAACAATTTATACAGAACGAATATTTAACCGCTTCAGTGATTTTTACCCATATTCCTTTCGGTCCAGTCGCGTAGGCTTGAGCCGGTCGACGACAACGTTTTTTGAATTGACTGTATATCCATAGAAAATGAATACCTATGGGGAATGATAACAAAATATCTCAGTAGTCGGCCACAAGAGACCCACAGAAGACCCGCAAATTCTGATACAAAACAGGGTTCTTTATTTCACTAATAGCGCGCTTCCTTTGTAACGATAGTATATACAGTCAATTCAAGAAACGTTGTCGTCGTCCTGCTCAAGCCTACGCGACTGAACCGAAAGAAATATGGGTAAAAATCACTGAAGCGGTTTAAATATTCGTTCTGAATAAATTGTTCCCGCTAGTAATAAGATAATAATGGCAAGAAACAATCCATCAAATGCATGTCTTTGGGTTTAAGGAAACAAAACCAAAGTACTTAYGATTCAGTTCACAATTTCGAATATATGAAGGCATTTAAAAAACGTCTCCTTCAACACTTCCCGCTCGCCTACGAACGTTCGTGCTGTAAACCAGGCATAACTAGTCAGATAAAATTATGCAGTCAACTTGGCTTCAATGATTACTACCCAGAGTTCCTTTCGGTCCAGTCGCGTAGGCTTGAGTTGCTCGACGACAACATTTTTTGAATTGACTGTATAAGTATTATTCGACAAGGACAATCATAGCTACAAGAATGTCCAAACCGCCCTCAAATCCCTTTCTCGTACCCAGACCCTTCAGGATAATATTTTCTCGCATATTTCAAGTTCACAAGATTGCCACTATATTTTAAGAGAATAAGAGTCAGTAAGGCTTTTTATTTGAAGGGGGGGAGGGGGGGGGGGGGGAACATGAAATCAGTCGAGAAATCGATTTAAATAAGATATTGAATGGAAGTTTATGAGTTCGAGCTGCTTTAATGCATTAACCACGGGTGTGCGTTCATGTTTTAATTCAAGATTCACGGTAGGAATCTATCTTTATTTTGAAATATGAATATTAATAACGCTTTTTTTCTCGATTTTGTCACGTCAGTATATAAAGTATATAAATTCTTTAGTAAGACAACATCAGCTTTGAGTTTAAATAAACGAGGGCTTCTGATTGGTCAATTCTTTGCCACATTATAAAATATTTAAGAGCTTCTAGGAAGGTTTCTGGTGTATTGATAAAAAAACAAAAATCATTTCAAAAATTATTCGTTATTCACCGCCGAAGTGATATAGCTGGGATATACCTCGATTCTATTTGAATGCTTGAAAAGATTCCCTTACATTCATACTACCGATACGAGGCAATAATGAGGCAAAAATCCGTCACAAATGACCGAGCGAAGAAGTTTGCGACGACCTAAGTATGTCATCGATAATTCGAATCAAGGCAAGTGAGGCCCTGTCATTAATGAATTTTGCAAGTACTTACAAAATGCGATCAAAGATAATCATGTCATTTTTGCTCAACAAATGCAAATAGGAGCTTAAATTCTGTTCACTGTCTCATGTATACAATGGCTACCTCAACCGACCTCGGCATAGTGTTGGCTCAGAAGCTTAAGRGACTAAACATGGAAGATAAGGTTGGACTTTTCTAAAATTTAAAATATGAAAATCGATCAATCAGTTGGTAGAAATGCAGGCTAATATTTATAGCATTTTTATCTTCGAACAGCCGTCTTTTCGGCACTTAATCATCGACACTAAAATTATTATTGGTCACGACGAACTACACCAACTATTTTTGCTTCGTACTCTAGATAGTCATTTTTTAGGTTCGAGTTTGGAAGCCTTCAAATCGACTGAGTTATTAAGAGCTAGCGTGAGAATATTGGTGATACACGTTTATGTTTGGCAAGGCGTGGGTAACAATGTAAAGCTAAAAAACATTGTACTGAGTGCATATTATAGATACAGGAAAAGGAAACCTTATTTAAGTGACTGTAGTAGTATTCGAAGTGAAATACTTTGCTAAGGAAGCCACTTGGGTTTGTTTAGGCTGGTGAAACTTAGAAGGTAGGAAGAGAATGACGCTTGTTTCAAACAGAAGATTGTAATCTTTAAAATATGGCTTTAAATAGAGAAAAAAATACAATGCTTTTACTAATGGCGTCTTGCCTATACGAAACTAGATTTAGGCATTTAGACAGCTGTGCATGTGAATGTAAAATTCTAAAAGCGAATTCTATTGAGCATTCATTAGATCGAAGTCCTTAGATTTATCTTGTGACATTTAATTCGTAACTTTATGAAAAACGATTATTAGAATGCGAGGTAAATATTATAAAAAGGTTTCAAGCCTAAGAATGATTATTTCTCAAGACTATATCAAGTTAAAAAACAAGGAATAGTATACCTTAGGAATATGTCTGTGAAAGCTGTTAAATACCTTCATACAGTAAATATGTAAATATAGATTTTTTTGAATTATGCCAATTTTTGATCGATTTTGAAGTCGTTTTTGGTACTTTAGTATTCCTATATCGCGAACAAATCTACGGGGAATTAGAATAACTATATAAGCTAGCCACTTCATCGTGCCTGAGTGTCAAACGAAATGTCAGCGAATTTAATAATAAAGACTTAGTTTATTGAGGCACATATCATATACTAGAGAATTATTTAAGGTTATTTCAATTTTTTTTTTCTTCTTTTTTTTCCCGCTCTGTAGTTTCATTTCAGTCTTTTTATGTCATATAACTTATCCTTCAATTTTGTTCAACGAGTGGAAGATGCATTCTGAATTTTATGTTAATCATTTCTCTTTTTTTTTAAGTTTTCGTTTTTAGTAAAAGCCTGTCTTGTTCATTGTGTCAGCATCAAGTGTTTGATATTCCTAACTGACGTTTTTTGTGGTAGATTGGTTTATGATAATTATTTATTTCAAACTCCATACTAACAGACGTTACATGATGACAAATTTTTTATCTCTTTAAGAAAAAATATTGTTTAGATTACTGGATTGTACTCTTTCCATTCATGTTCATCCATGTTCATTCGTTCATTCA